GGTCTCTCTCCCTGCCATATGTGCGCGTTCAGAATCATTTGAACGGAGTTGCTACTCCAGTGCAAGTAAAATGACAGTCATACTCTATCATAGGTAAATATTAAGCTGAACAGATTTTAAATTCCCATTGGTTGGGAAGCAGAGTATTTCCGTAACTTCAGTGAAGTTACTCTGAATTTATACTAACATAATAAGGAGGCCCTTGATCTCTTATCTTCCCTAAAGTATGCTGTGTGGCATTTTAAAGTTGCTCAGGAATTAACAGAGATGTCAGTCATGCTTTAGCAGAGCCTAAAAATACTTTCTAGTCAAATGGATTGTCACAGAAACACTGAAAATGTAAAAGGACACGCAGTTCTGATTTCTATAGTTAGCTGCATGGCCATGCTCATATACGAAGAGTCTGTCTTGAGAAGTGGCATACCAATCAAAACAAAACACAATTTATTATCCTAGAGACTATAATAATATTCTTTAACACAGGCACTGTGTCAGTAGGGATGTAGGTTGAAAAGTTTTTGTATATGATTAGTAACTTTGAATATCTTACATGTCAGTGACCAAAGTTGAACCCCTAAATAAGGTCCACACTGTCCCCGATTGAGCAGCCAAAATTGCCAGTAGTTTCTATGAATCTTGGCTGTTCTGAACCTGAGGTGGTATCGAAGGAATGTGAAATTACTTAAAACAATTTTGCATTGGATTCTGTGTCAAAGCTGGGTATTGTCTGCTGGAACGTCTGTGCTGTCTGCTTACAACACATTTAAGGAGAACATAAATGTAATATATTGTCTCTCTCATCGTGGAAAACTTGAGATTTCTTGTGTGCTGCTTCTGTCAGCATCAGTGAGACGTCTCGTTTCCTTACTTTCTACTGAAGTATAATATAGAGATAGTTTGTACTATTCTGCCATGAAATAATACAAATATTTTCTTGGGTACATTGTTTAAAATATATATTATGGGTCAGAAGTGGCCGTTTTGTTTGCAGAACTTCTGTTAGAAAAAGCATTTCATAATATTTATGACTCTGGTTATGTAGATATGGTAGTGGATACTTTCCTAATTATCTTTACATAATTAGATAGAAATTAGTCTCTTTAAAATTGCTTCGATTGTTTCATAGATTGTTCAATGTTTGCTTGTGTCCCTTTTTTTGCTTGTGTATGCGATTAAACTCTTCCAGATACGTATCTGGTATATGCTAAGCTCTTCAACCACCCCGCGTGCTTAGCCTAAATTCACAAAGGAAATAAAATGTTTAAATTTCTGCTTTATGTCTCTATTCTTCTTCAATGACACTTGAAGTTCTGGTAATGTATTTTTATCTTCAAAAGTCAAGCAGCTCTTTAAGTGTTCTTACAGCTTCACATCTACAAAATCATACGGGTAGAAAGGCACTGCCAGAGAGGTTGGGCCTCAGATCTGGCGTGTTATCTGACGTTTGGAGTTTTAACAGGGGATGTCCTGGTTAGTTGCAATATTTTTAGTCCCTGTGCAGGGAATCACCTGTAGGACTCCTCACTGCAAGCAGCTATGAAGCAGTTGTTCCCTCATTCTTCTGCTTTGGGAAGCAGTCTCAGGAGGGGAGCTTTCCGTAACTGCTTTTGAAGCTTGGGTGCTGCCGATATCCTCGCTCATCACACGCCTCACCCGATCCCTGCTCTCCCCGCTGCACTAGCGTGCTCTGGCGTGGCCACGCTCGGCCTCCCCCGTGCCCCCGTCCTCGGCAGCCGCCCCCGGCGCGGAGGGAGGCCCTGCAGCGCGTGGAGGCCCTGCAGCGCGCGGGGACGGCTCACGGCCGGCAGCGGGAAAACCACTGCCGACACGTCCTCGCTTCTGCTCCTGGCCTCTGGCGTACAGATGTACCAAAATGCTGGTTGTCAGTCTGGTTTACAAGATTTGTTGTTGGCCTGTCGATAGTAACGTGCTGGTTATTTAAACTTTATTGAGGCAAACATTTTGAGCTGCATACCCTCGGTGCACATTAGATTAACTAGAGATTGACACCTGCGAACACGTGGAACAGTATATAGTACCCATGCTTCAGTCTCATTAAAACTGATGAATTAAGTTTGTGAACCTATATACCTAATGTCTTTATTTTCAGTCACCGCTGTCTTGATTCTGTATGCATAATAATTAGTTTTCAGAATTTGCAGCGTACATCCCCGGGCCATTTTCTGGATATTTATGCAATTAGTTTAATGAACTTTGCTTAGGAGTTGCTATGCGATTAACAGTCATTACCTTCACGGATTGCCCATTTTACAAGTAACCTAGAGATTTCACGTTCCGCAGTTAAGTTTTCTTATTCGCTGCATAAAGCCAAAACATTTTTGCGGCGCACCCGCCCAGCCAGCGAGCAACAAAGGCTGCTGGCTGCCGTCGCACTCCACGGGTAATCCGCTGTCATCCTCCGTCCCTGTCAGCAACTGCCGGAGCAAGGGCTGCTGGCGGAGCCGTTCGGCGGTTTGCCGGGGTTTGCTCTCAGCCCCTGGCCCTTTCATGTCGGCGGGGTTAGGTCGATGAACAGCGAGGGAGGGAACGCGCTGGATCTCCATCCGTACCGCGGTCTCAGCGCGCCCGGTGCTACGCCCGGGTGCTACGCCCGCCCCGCGGGTTTCCCGGCGGCGGGACGCGGGACGCTGCCCTCCTCAGACACGGGCGGGCGCCGGCCCGGCCCGGTCCTCGGGGGTCGGGCGGGAAACAAGCGCTCCCGGGGGGAGGC